ACTGTGTTACTAAAGTATTAACCACTGTGTTACTAAAGTATTAACCACTGTGTTACTGAAGTATTAACCACTGTGTTACTGAACTATTAACTACTGTGTTACTGAAGTATTAACCACTGTGTTACTGAACTATTAACTACTGTGTTACTGAACTATTAACCACTGTGTTACTGAAGTATTAACCACTGTGTTACTAAAGTATTAACCACTGTGTTACTAAAGTATTAACTACTGTGTTACTAAAGTATTAACTACTGTGTTACTGAACTATTAACTACTGTGTTACTGAACTATTAACCACTGTGTTACTAAAGTATTAACTACTGTGTTACTGAACTATTAACTACTGTGTTACTAAAGTATTAACCACTGTGTTACTAAAGTATTAACCACTGTGTTACTAAAGTATTAACCACTGTGTTACTAAAGTATTAACCACTGTGTTACTGAAGTATTAACCACTGTGTTACTGAAGTATTAACCACTGTGTTACTGAAGTATTAACCACTGTGTTACTAAAGTATTAACCACTGTGTTACTAAAGTATTAACCACTGTGTTACTAAAGTATTAACCACTGTGTTACTGAAGTATTAACTACTGTGTTACTAAAGTATTAACCACTGTGTTACTAAAGTATTAACCACTGTGTTACTAAAGTATTAACCACTGTGTTACTAAAGTATTAACCACTGTGTTACTAAAGTATTAACCACTGTGTTACTGAACTATTAACCACTGTGTTACTAAAGTATTAACCACTGTGTTACTAAAGTATTAACCACTGTGTTACTAAAGTATTAACCACTGTGTTACTAAAGTATTAACCACTGTGTTACTAAAGTATTAATAATGTTTTATAAATTAGTCAGTTATTTAATTTTCTTTTGTTTGTAATAACAGGTATATTTAATATTATAAACAGGATGTTTTGTATGATTTGATGGTTACATTTATTGTTTTTTAGTATGATTTGGTGGTTACTTTTATTGTTTTTTAGTATGATTCGATGGTTATTTTTATTGTTTTTTAGTATGATTTGGTGGTTACTTTTATTGTTTTTTAGTATGATTCGATGGTTACTTTTATTGTTTTTTAGTATGATTCGATGGTTACTTTTATTGTTTTTTAGTATGATTCGATGGTTACTTTTATTGTTTTTTAGTATGATTCGATGGTTACTTTTATTGTTTTTAGTATGATTTGGTGGTTACTTTTATTGTTTTTTAGTATGATTTGATGGTTACTTATAATGGTTGGTTGCTTCCATAGTTTTATTAAATATTCAAATATATATTTTGTATGCAATAATAAGTGTTACAAAAATTTACAAGGATTCTTATTGTTCTCTGTATTTATATATTAATATGCAACATGAGATATTGAGTAGTTTGTTGTTTATAATGGTTGATTAAATTTTGTATCGTAGTTAATTAAAACATCTCACTGTACCTTACTGAGAGGTGTGGAGGAGGAAGGGTTACTGATAACACTGTCTTTTTATAACAGTAACTGTTTGATTTGAACAGTGAGGATATGTATGCCCAGGACTCAATCGACCTTTTGACCAATTCTGGAATTCAGTTTCACAAACACGATGAAGAGGGGATCGACCCTTACGAGTTTGCCCAGCTGTTGATGACGTCTGGAGTTGTGCTGTCAGAAAATGTCAAGTGGATATCCTTTCATAGGTGATACATAGTAGCTTTTAGGTTTTTAAAAACAATATACATAAGAGGAAATAATATCGTCTTACGACCACCATGAATGATGAGAGGAAACTAAATGTTGAGTAGGGCTGACATTGATATTCTAGTTTGAGAGGAAACTAAATGTTGAGTAGGGCTGACATTGATATTCTAGTTTGAGAGGAAACTAAATGTTGAGTAGGGCTGACATTGATATTCTAGTTGTATCACCTGTAGCTTTCGAAAGTTATGTAAAAATACAGTAAGATGCATCTCAATGGACAGTCAGCTCTGTAAGTTATGAGTCTAGCTTTGAATAGAAATATTTAATACTGAATGATGTGTTATTTACTTTTCTTACAGTGGTTACGACTTTGGTTACTTACTGAAGATACTTACAGACCAGAATTTACCGACAGAGGAGTCAGAATTTTTTGAATTGCTGCGCATTTATTTTCCCACAATCTATGATGTCAAGTACCTGATGAAAAGCTGTAAAAACTTGAAAGGGGGTCTTCAGGAAGTGGCAGATCAGTTAGAGGTAAAGGACGGGTTTGGATTGTACAAAGAAAAAGTATTCTTTATGTGGAATGTAACCTTGAGAGCTTAGATTTTAATAATGTTATTTTCTTTCATGAAAATATTCTTTAAAGTTTTTGGATGTTCGTTTACATATCTAAAGAAGCTGTCTTGTACTGTTTGTGGATAGATGTTAGGGTAGCTGTCTTGTACTGTTTGTGGATAGATGTTAGGGTAGCTGTCTTGTACTGTTTATGGATAGATGTTAGGGTAGCTGTCTTGTACTGTTTGTGGATAGATGTATGTTTACATATCTAGGGTAGCTGTCTTGTACTGTTTGTGGATAGATGTTAGGGTAGCTGTCTTGTACTGTTTATGGATAGATGTTAGGGTAGCTTTCTTGTACTGTTTATGGATAGATGTTAGGG